GGCGCCCCGCCATTGGCTGCCGCGCCGCGCCGCCCGAGATTTGAGTGCCGGCCGTTAACGGCGGTGCCGCCATCGCAGCGAGCGGCGGGGCGGCAGGTGGGCGGCACGAGGCGGGAGCGCGCCCCGCTCCACCGCGCTGTTAGGGCGGCCGGGGGCGGTCCAGGGTCCGGCACTGAGGCGCCGGAGACTTGTTGGGGGCTTCTAGGGAGGCTCCTGGGGCTACCGCGGGGGGCCCGCGCCTCAGCGTTAGGCCGCGCGGCTCCATCCTGAGGGGAGCCGTCGGTCCCGCGGAGCCTCATCCGTCTCTCCTCGTCCTCAGGGCAGCCGTTTTGGAAAGAGAAAATGGTGAGAGAAGATGATAAGGTGATCCCCGTGCGCGTGGCGCTGCGCTGCCGGCCCCTGGTGCCCAAGGAGACYTGCGAAGGCTGCCAGATGTGCCTGTCCTTCGTGCCCGGGGAGCCGCAGGTGAGGGACACACCGCCGCGCTCGGGGTCAGCCCTGCCTRTAGCCGTGTGTGTACGCGCCTGCAGGTGTCCGTATATCTCCGTGTATGCACCTACAGGTGTCTGTTTGTGCAGATGTACAGCTCTTTGTCTTTCTGTGCTAACGCAGCCTCAAGTTCCTATGGCCGTGCAGCCAGCCCTGATCAATCTCATCATCTTTACAGGTAATCGTAGGCAACGATAAATCGTTCACGTATGACTACGTGTTTGATCCCTCTGTTGAACAAGAAGAAGTTTTCAACACGGCTGTTGTGCCTCTTATCCGAGGCATCTTCAAAGGTTTGCAAGGATTGAATTCAAATTTTGGTTTAAAGTGCTATTTTTTTTTAATGAGTTTATGTATATGAAAGAAGATACTGTTCAGTTCTCCATTCTGAGTTCTTTATTCCTCTAGCTTCTCAGGATTTAAAATTCTCTGCTCTTAGACCCTGATTCCAGCCTGTAGAGAGAAATCTTGCTCCTCTATAACCTATAGACTTCTGTATGGCTGTCGAAATGACTTAAGTATGTTCCCTGGGTCATTTTGATTCTTGAAGGTATTTAATAAAGGCAAGAAAACTTTATTAAAAACAATGTGATGAACTGATAAGCATCCTATACTAGAAGGTGTTACTGATGCTGGAGTGGAGATGGGATGGCAGAGTATCTATAACTCTTTAACTAAAGCAACATAGCTGTCCTGAAAAAACTGTAGTAATTCTGCTGTATTTTTTTATTGATATTTTTCCTTGCCCTTTGGTTTACTTTTCAGTGATATTTTTTCCTYGTTGTCATTAACTGTCATCTGTGCATCGAGATTATGCAAACTAATAGTGAGTGGCAGTGGTTTTTCAGGAAGGATACTTTTACTGGAATGCTACCGAGTTTGTCAAAGTATTCTGCTGGATTCTACCTGACTTGCTGATCCAGACGTTCTTTATCCTCGTAGGGTATAATGCTACTGTCTTAGCCTATGGACAGACAGGATCTGGAAAAACATACTCCATGGGAGGTACCTACACGGCCTGTCAAGAGCATGAACCTAGTGTGGGGGTCATCCCTCGGGTAATCAAACTGCTATTTAAAGAAAAGGAGCAGAGGCAGGATTGGGAAATTGTCCTCAAAGTCTCCTATTTAGAGGTAAAAGTTGCTTTGTTTTTGTTTTAAAAATATTGCAATGTTATGAATTGCGGGCAAAATGAACCTTAGTGAGACTGCCTCCTTGGTAACRGGAATTTTTGAAATCAAATCTTAAAATCTTAAGGTCTTCAGAATCTGAATTCTGAGTGCTGTCTACCCCTCACTGAGGGTAAAATGGTTCAGTGTCATGCAGAGTTAGCCCTGGCTTGAGTCTAGTTGTATATTGTTCTTTATRTAAGCTGTGCTCTTGCAAAGCTGCTAATTCTGAGCTGCTATTTGATATTTTCAGATCTACAATGAAGATATTTTAGACCTGCTGTGCTCATCTAGAGAACGGTCTTCTCAGATCAGTATCAGGGAAGATCCTAAAGAAGGAATAAAGGTCTGTTGTCCTGTTAGAAATGGATATGCAATGGGTACATAAGCAGTGTGGCTAGGGACAAGTGTTTGGATAAAAACAATTGTCTTATGTGCCAAGGACTGTTTGCACACTGCCTCCTGTATAACCATACATATATATGTGTGTGTGTGTATATATAAATAATGTGTATATAATATATATATTTATAATGTGTGTGTGTGTGTGTGTATATACACACACACACACACACATATATATAACAGCTAGCTCAAAACTGGCCTGTTGCTGAGCATTTTAAATTTTCTCCAAAAGCAACCCCAACAGGGTTAGATGTTAAAGAGAAAGCCCTTTCCTTCTGCCTGTGACGGGCACAACTGTCGGCCGCAGCCTGGTGCYGTGCAGGGCCAGGGGATATCACAAGCTGCTGTGGGTTTCTATGGGGAGTCCTGAGGAACTGTTTCCATCCCAGTGCCCAGCTGGCTCTCAGGCAGAAGAGCTTGTGGGGTGTGTGTGTGTGTGTGTGTTTGCAGGAGAGACGGGGTGATTCCAAGATACTGATGGGGAGCTTGGAACAAACTTTTGCTAAAGGATCTTTACTCCAGCAACCCTTTCCCTTGAAGTGAGACTCCAATTTGTGTGACTGTATTTTTCATAGGCTTCACTTCATCAACTGTAGTCAGAAGAGAGAATTCCTGTGACTCGGTAAATTAGAGGTGAACACGATAAAAGGATAAATGCTGCTTTCTTTCTGGATACAGATTATAGGGTTAACAGAAAGAAACGTTGCCTGTGCCCAGGATACTGTATTCTGCCTAGAGCAAGGAAACAATTCCAGAAAGGTGGCCTCCACAGCAATGAACTCCCAGTCTTCCCGGTCACATGCCATCTTCACCATTTCAGTTGATCAGAAGAAGAAAAGTGACAAGTAAGTGTGACAGCACAGCTAGTGCAGATAGCAGCAGATAGGAGTTGGATTTAGTGCAGATTTCATAGTCTGTTGCTCTCCTAGTCTGGGGTTAACTTGGCTGACCTGCAGTCGAGGTAGCTGCTTTATTTGACTGTCTTTGTAAGCTCTGCTTTTCATCTCAGTAGCTCAACTATACGAAGTGCTACCCTGAACTGCTCTGTTCTCGGTTGCATGTTGACCTGAGAGAGTAAAATAGTCAATTTCTGCCCTAGGAACAGCATTTTGCACTCCAAGCTACACCTGGTTGATCTTGCTGGATCTGAAAGACAAAAGAAGACCAAGGCTGAGGGAGACAGATTCAAAGAAGGTCAGTAAGCAGAAGACAGGCATCATTTGTGTTTCTTACCACTCTTGAGTCTGTAAATTGAATCTTAGGAGAGGCAAAGCAGTCTTTTAAGTATAATGCATTTTTTACCTCTCTGTGATTTTTATGAAAAACCAGTAAATTAGCAATTTCTAGCTCTCGAGTTAGCTTTTCTCATTGTCATCTGTTTGCGTGCAGGAATCAACATTAACAGAGGTCTTCTCTGCCTGGGGAATGTAATCAGTGCTCTCGGTGATGAGAATAAAAAGGGTGGTTTTGTCCCCTATAGAGACTCAAAGTTAACCAGACTGCTGCAAGGTAAGAACCAGATAATGGTAAAGCCTAAATCTATAGATGCATTTTAAATAACCAGCTATTAAAAAGATACTGAAAGCCATTGCAGTAGTGAGAACACGTGCAGAAGAAGCAGGAGTCAGGGCCTGGCAGTGTAYGTGGCAGCAGGCGCAGGGCGTGAAGCTGCACGCAGACCAAATTGCTGCGAGGGCCAGGCCCATATGTTCCATTTTGTCAACAACACTGGCTGCTCCCCTGCAGCAGCTACCCAAGGTTAGCACAGCTGAGATAAGGAAGCAACTCTAGTAGATTTGAGAGGCCCTTAGAATAAGCGGAGCCTTACCCGTGAGTCAGACCTGTGCGCCTGACCCAGCAGCCTCCCGTTGTGAGCCCTCCTTGCTGTTCCCAGGTCTCCCTGTGCAGCTGGGTGTGCAAGTCATTCCTCAAACCCATCCCGTTTAACCCCTTGTGAAACTTTTCTCTGAAAATATTATGTCAGAAGTTACATATACTCAACACAGTGACAGTGTTTCAGAGACTTTGGATGTGAAATCACCAGTGTGTAGAGCTGAAACGATTCTGGGACTTTGGTGTGCTAAGAATGCTCTTTAGTACTTGCTGGACAGGGGACAAAGTAGATGCAAYGGTGGAAAATAACAGCTAGATTGCTTTTATCTATTATATGGCAATGCCCTCATGCTATCTTAGCTATCTGAATGATGATGCCTTACTAGGTCTTTTTTGCTGTCCCTCAAAGCATCAATTATGTTTCTTTTTCAGATTCTCTGGGAGGTAACAGCCACACTCTTATGATCGCTTGTGTAAGCCCAGCGGATTCCAATCTAGAAGAAACTTTAAATACTCTACGTTATGCTGACAGGGCAAGAAAAATAAAAAATAAGCCAATCATCAACGTGGATCCTCAGACAGCTGAGTTGCATCATCTAAAGCAGCAGGTACTTAGTTYTTTCCTCGTGTGATAAGAGTAATGGTAGTGAGCTCATTAAAGAGCAAGCAAAGAGAGGGTTTCTAACTGCTGAGTGTATGGAAACTATGCAGTGTGTGTTTCTCTGTCTCTTGAGGTAGCTGTGTAAGTGCTATAAAGGGACCTGAATTCTACAGCAGTCATTTAAAAAATGGTAGTGTTAGTGCAGTCAGCATTTTCCTTCTGGGGAGTGTATCATTGCCTGCACATTAGCCTGCAGAAGGAGGGAGCTGCTTCAGAAGCCAATTTCTTTGGGTATCATAAAGATGTATGATCCCTTCCCAGAAAGCAGTAAAAGGCAAGATGGCACGTTAAGACTAAGGATGCAATAGTAATTCAACTGTCTAGTTCCTGTATGAAAAAGACTTACAAGGGGTAACTGTTTTTGTTTCCAGGTACAA